GCCTTTTCATAAATACGCGTGTTGTGGTGTTAATTTATGTCGATTCTGATAGGTCATTCATGGTTACGCAGTTATGCTTTGACTGTGCAATATTGTTTCTAACAAATTTTCCGGAAACGCCATTGCTATTTTGCCTTTCTCATTGGAACTGGGTCTCTAAATGATTTCAATCAAAGTTTGTCCTAATTGTTTCACCTTTTCTCCAAAACGTTAAATTGCTTTTCGTTTATCTGATACCCAATACTCTTCTTGAATCCCTGTTGATGAAATAATTCATGTTTGTACAGCCTAGTGCTTTTCGAATTGCTTCAATTTAACTTTAAGAAAAGAGCCTACCTTACTTGCGCTTACCAATTCCAACTTTATCGTGGCTTTTATAATTCACATTGATTGTACGTTATTAAAAAACTTCCATTGCTCCCGTGTGTAATGAGGATAGATGTTATATGGTTATGGATTGGTTAGGTTGTGAGCTTGTACTTCTGTAACAGAAAATACACTTCCCAAGTTAAATTAATCACTCGTATACCTTTATATTCATTTAGCATAAACAAGGAATTTTGTAGTGATTTGGCTTTTGACTTCATGATTAAATGAATTAAAGTAATTATTTAGAAAATGATTGTGGGTCTAAACTTACCTTATATTTCAAATTTCGAAACTCTAATTTCAGTGCCTTTTTATTCGGATGTATCTATCACAAAAACTATCCATCTGAAAACCAACTTTTTTCCGGTTATAATCAAGAGCTCAGTTGAGGGCAAGCGAAGGGCATCCGAAATTACAGTTCGCTTTTTGACATTTAGTCAGTTCCTAAGAAATGTAAATTAGTTTGAATCATGCTGTTACTTCAGATGTACTTCGTCGCAGTCACCTCACAAGCAGCAGGCTTCAGCACGTCTGGAAAAACACCAGACAGTTGTTTCGAAACTCTGCGTCTCGCCAGTGGTGCAAATTCTTCAAACACCTGCCGGCTCCCGAATCCTTGATGTTCGCATGCAAGCACACGTTGTCACTAAGCCAGTGGTGACGGACACGGATTTGAATGACTGACAGTTGACTACGATATAACCTGGCTCATCCTCTACTGCGATTTGGGTTGCGAACTGTGCATTTTACAGAGATCTGCCCCAGGATTTTGCGAAGTTAATATCAACATATGGTTGTGGACGTTGATCAGTCTCGGATACACGCATGTTGACACAGTACAAGGGATCTCATAATTTGCACTTTTCACTCGTATTAAATATCACGAACAGCCAGTTGCTCGCAAACGAGTCACTCATTATCACTCACAGTCTGTGTGTGCTACTTCCGGCAAAGCCACAGTTACAGAGTTTCGTAAAAAGAAAGCTGGAATGGGATGAGCCTCTTCCCGCAGAAGGTCAGCAAGTTTGGAGCAGAAGAAGGAGACAGGTAAGACATGTGTTTGATATGTTTTGCCGTAGGCGGATTAGAGTACATCCACAAATACTGCAGAATAGACAGAAGTGGTTAACTGAAATCAGCGATCTTAGGCAGGGCGAGTTAGTTTTAGTTTGTGATATACGCACATCAAGAGGTCTGTGGCCTAAGGGTGTTGTGGAGAAAGTTATCAAGAGCAAAAGCCAACTGGTTCGACAAGCACTGGTGAGGACACTCAAAGACATATTGCGAAGAGACGTCAGACAGCTGTGCCTACTAGAAGCATACCAGGAAGAAGAGAATGATGCCGTGGAAGCCATCGTCCGGGATAGGAAACCGCCGGGGGAGTGTAAAGTCCAAAAGGAACTTCGATGTATCCCCCAAACTGGATTGCTTACATGAGGACACGGTATCTCATTTCCCTGATTTTCTTGCACATTTACACTGCTTTACTGTGTGTGTATTTATTTCTTACACTCCATCACTGACACATCCTTGAGGTTTGAAGGTCATTCTTATTATTATGTTACTGTGACACTGCCCCAATACTCGATCCGCCCCACGCTGGACAGTTTCTGCCCACTTGCATTACGATTGCGAAACCTATTCGTAAGTCATGTACTGTATTTATTATGCCTTATAGAAACACGGTTACAGGATAATTCGTTTTCTTCTTCTGCCCAGACCGTGCGTTAAGTCTAGGTTTATCTGTTCTTAGTGTCTAGTTTAGTTTCGTACGACGTACTTAGTTTAGGCTTAGTATCGTTGGTACATAAGTTGAATAGAGCAATCATGTCCGTTTCTGGTGATTCTTTTGGTGATGTTAACGTTACTGATGCTGAGAAACTTCGAAAAGCTGAATCCCGTATTCGCCTGTTGGAGTCGGCTTTAACGAGCATGCGCATGTTGCAGGCGAATACCGTTGATGCTAAGGACTACTGCGAACCTGAATTTGAGTCGGATGCTCTTATTAATGAACGTTCGCGATTTATTCCGGCCGACGATTGTGTGCTTTCTCCCGAAGTTGCCATCTGCTCGTCGTTTGTGAAGCCTGTTTATAGGGGTCCGCACGTCGCATCCGTAGCTCAGTTGGTTGGTCCGTTGGCATCCGACAGTACCGGCGTTCGATCCCAGTCGGGAGCATTTTGCTCCGGCCTTCAATCTGACGGTAACCTGTGTCCGGAACGCAAATCCAGTGAATTTGGACCCAGCACGTCATCCTGTCTTCCAAAACGTGAACTGATAACATTCGATGGGGATCCTGCCCGCTATTGGATGTTTATGCGATGCTTCGAAGCCAATGTTTCCAGAACTACTTCCGATCCAACTATCAGGCTTTCATATCTGATACAATACTGTTGTGGCGAAGCCAAAGAAGCTATCGAAAGTTGCTTAATACTCGACCCTGGTGAAGGTTTTGAAGAAGCAATGAACATTTTGCGCAGACGCTTCGGACGGCCCCACATGATTGCTAGGACTCACATTAATGCTTTAACTGATGGCCCTAACATCAGGCCCAATGATTTCACAGCTCTGTCTCGTTTAGCTGTGGAACTGCGTTCGTGCTACTTGACGTTGAAACAGTTGAGGTATGAATCTGATTTGAACGCGTCCAGAACAATCAGCTCTATCGTCAGGAGGCTGCCTAACCATCTGCAATTCAAGTGGGCCGAGCATGCCGCCAGAGTTATCCGCACCGAAAGAGAACCGAACTTCATTGATTTGACAGATTTCGTGGATGAAACCGCAGACGTCGTCGATACTTATTTGTCCTTTGCCGCACGTCCCTGCGGACTACCGGCCATCACCGATAGAGGCAGAAGCTTAAACTCTCAGGGATATGCCGCTTGCCTAAACATTGCCGCTTCATCAGAACGAAATTTCCCTAAATGTATTTCCTGTGAACAACGCCACTACTTAGATCAGTGCGATGATTTCCGAAATCTCAACCTCAACAAACGTCTTGAATTCTGTCGCGCTCATAGACTGTGTCAGCTCTGTCTCAAACCGAATCATGACCTAGTAAATTGTCGATCACGAAGGTGTTGTGGGTCGAACAATTGTAAGCTGCTGCACCACCCGCTACTCCACGTTGATCGAAGCAACTTCGGAACACCAACCACTGAAGGATCCAGTTTTGCTCTCAGTCACATCGAACGCTCTGTTGTGTCGCTTGGCTTGTTACCTGTGCTTGTTTCTGGGCCTGCTGGCACCATTCGAACATTAGCCTTAATAGACAATGGATCAGATACTTCACTGATTGATTCAACATTACTTCAAGTTATCGGGGTTCAAGGGTCCGTGACTCCACTTAACATTAGCACCGTTGCTGGCCGATGTCAAGTGGAGTCCCAGTTGGTTAGTGTAACTGTTCGATCTATAGATGGAGATGAGGCGGTCCAATTAAATTCAATTAGGTCAGTCAGTCATCTCCCTGAAAAACTTGGAACGAGAAACAGGAACAACGATTTCGCCAGATGGTCCCACCTCTCCGATCTACGGTTACCGGAGTTGAAAGGAAGGATCGAACTTTTGATTGGTTGCGATAACCCATACCTACACTGGGCATTAGATCAGAGACGCGGGGATCCTGAAGATCCGTATGCTGTTAAAACTCCATTAGGCTGGATCGTACTGGGACCGAACAAACAGCACGAGATTATGAAGGATCAATCCACGTCACTGATAGTTGATCGAACACGGAGGATCAACTCACTTCGCTGCGATACCACTGACCTTCCTCAACCACTAGAGCAGATATATGTAAAGGAATTTGAGGGATTAGATAGTCCACGACTAACCATGTCTGTGAACTACGGACGCGCGTTAAAACCAATGGAAGCTTCTAAAAGGAAGGTTGGTACCCACTACGAAATTGCGCTACCATGGCAAGCTGGGAGACCTCGGTTACCAGATAACCGGCAATTCGCACTGATGAAGCTTCCCATGTTGAGGAAACGTTTGTTGAAGAATGCCGCACTGCGCCAAGTACACAGCAAGGTAGTGAAAGAAAATATATTTAGAGGATATGCTGAACTCGCTCCAGTACAGGAACAGCAGAAAAAAGGGGTAACCTGGTACATACCCCATCACACGGTATCGCATCACCGTAAGCCCTGTAAAGTGCGAGTGTTCTTCGATTGTCAAGCATCATACCATGGAACTTCTCTCAATCAACAACTTCTACCCGGTCCAGATATATCAAACAGTCTAGTAGGGATGCGTTTACGGTTCTGGTTTCACCCGATCGCCGTCGCGTCCGACGTTGAAGCAATGTTTCACCAGGTTAAGGTTTCTATTAAGGATCGGAATTGTTTGAGGTTCCTGTGGTGGAAGAATGGCAATCTTTGTTCATCCCCTATTGAATACCACATGACTGTACATCCGTTTGGCGCTACTTCGTCACCAAGCTGCGCTAACTTTACATTACGACAAGTTATCGTTGACAGTTATTGTGAATCTCAAACAAAGGCTGAACAAGTAGCAGAGAACGGTTTTTATGTCGGCGATTGTTTATTTAGTGTTGTTTCTGTTCCCGAAGCAACTGAACTCGTTATACACCTTACTCTTATTCCATCCGACGGAGGACTTCATTTGACGAAATGGGTCAGCAATCGAAAGGTTATCGCGCTTCTACCTGACAACGAAATGAAGGTTCACGGAATAAGATATTCGACTGCGGACGATTGTGTTACAACTGCGCCTGGTTTAAACTGGAACGTCACCCAGGACCATCTAACTTTTATGCTGGAAGGTTTTAAGAAAACTTTGACCCGAAGAGCCATCCTCCCGTTTGCAGCTCCCGTTTACGATCTCGGCTTCATTGCTCCCGTGCTACTTCCGGCAAAGCCACAGTTACAGAGTTTCGTAAAAAGAAAGCTGGAATGGGATGAGCCTCTTCCCGCAGAAGATCAGCAAGTTTGGAGCAGAAGAAGGAGACAGGTAAGACATGTGTTTGATATGTTTTGCCGTAGGCGGATTAGAGTACATCCACAAATGCTGCAGAATAGACAGAAGTGGTTAACTGAAATCAGCGATCTTAGGCAGGGCGAGTTAGTTTTAGTTTGTGATATACGCACATCAAGAGGTCTGTGGCCTAAGGGTGTTGTGGAGAAAGTTATCAAGAGCAAAAGCCAACTGGTTCGACAAGCACTGGTGAGGACACGCAAAGGCATATTGCGAAGAGACGTCAGACAGCTGTGCCTACTAGAAGCATACCAGGAAGAAGAGAATGATGCCGTGGAAGCCATCGTCCGGGATAGGAAACCGCCGGGGGAGTGTAAAGTCCAAAAGGAACTTCAATGTATCCCCCAAACCGGATTGCTTACATGAGGACACGGTATCTCATTTCCCTGATTATCTTGCACATTTACACTGCTTTACTGTGTGTGTATTTATTTCTTACACTCCATCACTGACACATCCTTGAGGTTTCAAGGTCATTCTTATTATTATGTTACTGTGACACTGCCCCAATACTCGATCCGCCCCACGCTGGACAGTTTCTGCCCACTTGCATTACGATTGCGAAACCTATTCGTAAGTCATGTACTGTATTTATTATGCCTTATAGAACCACGGTTACAGGATAATTCGTTTTCTTCTTCTGCCCAGACCGTGCGTTAAGTCTAGGTTTATCTGTTCGTAGTGTCTAGTTTAGTTTCGTACGACGTACTTAGTTTAGGCTTAGTATCGTTGGTACACACCCGATGAGCAAAAACGCACTTCGCGGGATTCGGTGTGCTGGCATTCGCATTAAGTGGTCGGGCCATCGAAGCCTGGTGCATAAAATGACCGTGCTTGGCGGTTTAGATCCTTTTATTGTGCCCTAAACGAGGCATCAAACACGCTCGTTTCTCTTGCGTTGTTCTCACCAGATGCAAATCATACTGCGAAGGCACCGGTTGTCGAAGTTAACTAGTTTCTTTATGTCCGCTGATCTTAGGGGCCACTATTCGCAACCGTACAGTGAAAACGATCTGCACTTGTTCACCTGAGTAATACCTTGCAGATAATCAAAATTAGACCGTCTTACTCGAGTAGAGTAACAACACAGAGAGTAGCTGCAATGCAAACAGATGAACGACGAGAATCAGCTAGGTGCAAAAGAGAGAGTGAATGGCTCTTGCGTCCGGTGCGACGCGCAGCATGATTTAAGGAAACACGATTACGTACACGCTCACTTTTGGCACCTTCACATATACTTTGTTATTAAGAGAACGGGGGTCCTCGACGAGAAACAATAGCTAAAAATAAAACGCGAAGGCATACGCCGTAATCCCGGGATAACAATCGCCTTGAACTTCGGGTTTGATTCGGAGTGTCGCCAATGTCACTTTGACATAAGTTTGACTGAAATTTAAAGATGAAATTAAATGCTGAAGTGAAAAATTGTATTGATACGTCTGAAAACTAAACTGCCTCAAATGCAAGAACAGTCATAACCGATAACATATTTTGCAAGAGATACCGCGGAATGAAAACATGTATTCACTAACCTCAGGAAATACAACCCATGCTTCTAAATGACGTCGTTTTGCGCAAATATTGTAAAAGACATATCTATGCCCAATTTCAAATTGCATGGACAGTTATACCATAAAGCCCTTTTGTTTTTCAGTTTCCAGATTGTCAGCAATTTCCTAGAAGTGCGCAACATCTTAGATGTCAATGTTGAATTGAATGCAACCTGAGGAACGTCTACCTGTAGGAAAAGTACACCGTTACCTTGTTTAACGAGATACCGTATTAAATAAATAATTCACTGCGTTTTTTCAAAACAGCAATGGTTATTAATTCATCCGACATGCAAAGTGCGTTTTTCTTGCTAACGGAAGGCAACTCGATGACGAATAAATAACTATGAAATGTAGTGCGCTGGATATTTAATCATACTGGTAAAAATACGGAAAACGTATGCAATCAGTTCTCTAAACGCCGTCATTTTTTCAAAAACACGTTCATATTTTTGCAAAAATTATAACAGAATGTTTGTTAGTAGTTGGCTTTGCGCTGAAACATACATTCATTTAACTTCTGCGTTTTGTTTGAGTTCAGTGTATTTAACGTCGGTAGACTAAGAGTTTTGCATTTCCTATACCAGCTGTCCACTTCATATGCGTGAGTGCATTCAAGATGCAGATGTGTATGTTCGCCATCACGGGCATCCTGTCCTATTCATGTCATTCACATTCAAAGCAAAGTGGGACGATCCCGCTTCATGGGCAATCACCGGTGGAAATGCATGAGATTCCTGCAGCCGTTTTAGACAGAATCTTTTCACAGATGGACTTCGTGTTACTACATGAAGCGCTTGTGATTGTACGCGGTAAATGCGATCCGCGGAATGGTGAAATCAAGGATGCCCACGCCCACTCATGCTTATATGGCTCCACCAATTGACAATGTAATGTTCCGTGAAATACGCGATATGGGTTAGTCTTAAATTCAATTCGAATGCATGCAATTCGTAGTGTTATTGTCCATGTGGTTACTTTTTCTTTATTCAGTTTGTCATATCCAGTACAAAATTATGAACAAAAACATGTGAACCTACGTCGATATACCGGATTCGAACTAACATTACCAGCTCGGTACACTGAATGTCTGCAATTCGAAACCGAAATATTTCGAATGTCAACTGATATACTTGCTGTTGGCGGTACCATTTAACATATCCAATGATTACATAGGTGCCTTGTTACGTTTCCACTGGAGAGATGCATCATATAACAATACATTTCGTGTGACGCCGTGATTTATTTCCATTTTTATTGTGAACGTGTAAGGCTAAAGTACCTACCAGTGAGTGTGTAATGTTACCTCTTGAACAGACTTATAATAGGGCTGGGAAAATTCGCCGTGAGCTATTCAGTCAGTATAACATATTAGCACGTTCATTATTTGATAGCTTGTACTCCGGTCTAATATTGATACCCAAAACAAGGACGTTTTGCCAAGTTTGTCTCTATAAACAGAGAACTGTTAAGTTGCATTGCCGCACAAATATTTAAAGCAAAGTTAAACACTGAGACCACGATTAATCAACTGGTATGGGCGTTGCCGGGCATTTTGCATTAAAGTTAAGCTTATATAGCAGACGTTATCCCTCCTGCAGGCCGAGAGGTTCTTTTTAGGTATTAGGCATACTTTCTCGCTGTTAAAGCCGAGTTCCCAGTAGCAGATTTGGACATTAACCAACTGCAGCGCACTGCGAAATTGAGGTAATGCGCAATCGTCTAGTTCGTGGGATAAAGAAATGGAATATGCTGTCGTCCTGTATGCTGCTGTGGACCAGACATTTCGAACAATCTGTGTAGTTTGCAACGATGCCCATAGGACGGAGCCAGGTCAAAGGTTTGTGGCTTCTTTCCTTTCAGGGCGGGGCGAGCTTACCAGAGTTAATGGCGGGTGTTACCGATGTCTCAATCAAGGTGATGGTGCTGCAGCTTGCCAAGGGGCAAAGGATGCAGGCGAGTCGAATATATGGGTAACCACCACACGCGGCAACTTACTGATCAAAGCAAATACAGTTGGTAAGCTTATCTGGCACTCCGCGTAGGGATCTTGTCAGTTGTAACCCCGCTCCTGTTGGCATTGTGCTGGTGCGACTTGAAGCACCCTTGCATTCGGTTGAAACATACGCCCTATTTAACTGCAGCTCCGACTTTAGCCTGCTTCAGATATATCCACTGCAAGAAGCTGGTGTTATTAGAAATCTTGTTTTAATTAAATTGCAAACAGTGGGCGGTGTTGGTTGTCTGGAATCCGTTATCGCTGGTTTTCGTTTGACGTTGTTGAGCGGTAGCGAAACAACCGACGTGCGACGTGCTTATTGCCCAACACGTTCATCGTTGCATTACTTAAAATACCTGTTAGTCAGGTAACAGCTCGGATATAACAGCTATCGGGCGTTTAGTTTCAAACTGAAAGATTTCTGGGTAAGAATAATTCTGGGTCTTGACTTCCCAAAGGCACAATGGCAAATAGAACAGCGACTCGCAGTCGGGGTCTGCTCTTCACTACAAATCACTACTCGCATATATAATGTTGGCGCAGCTAGTTAGAGGCCGCCAAACATGTGTTTCCCAAAATCACGTAAAACAAACGAGCTGTCGCTTGAAGAAAATTGTAGACTTCTGTAAAATAAAGGGAACCAAGATGTTAGTTCTAAGAACCGCGCAATTTCATTTAAAGACAAATTTGAGCTGCGCTTGGAGAAACTAGGATGCGGATGTTGCACAAAATTACGCATTTGCTAGGTACCGACTTTAGTGTTTAGGCAAACGATTACAGAGAAATTCGGCCCATTATGATCGATACGTGACAGCAAGAAATACGAATATGGCAAACGGTTATTTTCTCGTGCCTCCCTACCTGTTACAACCCCACTATCATCCGGGTGGCCTTTACAACATCATGCGGTTAATAAGCAAAATAAGACGAAAAAGCTTTACTTAATAATTGAATGTGTTGCAAAATAAAGATGGAATACCTAAACGACAATTTGTTACAAGGACCTGACACCGCTGCTCTTTTGTCACTAGACTGCTGCGCTTTACGAATACAAGAAAAGCCATATCCGCTGATATAAAGGATATGCTCATGTAAGTGAATTTTGCGGCAGTTGTCTGGGGCGCTCTGAGTTTTCTCTGGTTTACAAGTGGTGGAATACCAGATGAGAGCACATGCTTTCGGCTCAAACTTAACCCCATTTTGCACTGCTTTTGCTTTGCTTCAAACCCATTGTCATGTGGGGACATCACCCCAGTGGAATTGTGGCGGCAGCAGTCCGCCATATTATTTCTGTCGATGCATTTTAAATCGCGTTGTCGTCGATTTGGGAAGCGATATGGTTTGTTGTCCAAATCAAAGAGACGCTGACTAAGGCCGGTTTCGGGTTGGGAAATTGGGTCTGCAGCCACGCTGAATTGTATAAAGCAGTCTTGCCAAAAGTAATCGCAGAGCTTGTCAAGCCGATAGCAGAACTACCTGGCAATACTCGGCAAACCTTAGGCTTGAGGTTGGATGCAGATGGACTGCTTTTCTGTTTCAGTTTGGATTTACAGAATGGAATCATTCGAGTAGAGGCACCTTGTATTCGGTGGCACCTATAAATGATGCCTTGGGAGTGATAACACCAGTTATTTTGCACGCCAAATCATTGTTACAAAGGCTTTAGCGAGAAAACCTACCGGTGATAACCAAGAAATCCCTTAGGCTTAAAAATTGGATTGACAGCTTTATTTTCTTAAGGATTCACAGGTGTATCCACCACTCAGTAGAATC